TATTAACCGGCGGTTACTGCATACCGCCGGTCGCTGGTTAAATACCCAACCCGGAGACAACTCTAACCAAACTGACTTATCATTAACCAAACTGACTTGTCACTTCGTGACAGTCTAACATCGCCACATTTCTGCTTCCATTGTCCCTACTTAGCCTAACTCCATCTAACTTTGCCGTACTTCTGCTTCCATTGTCCCTACTTAGCCTAACTCCGCCTAACTTCGCTGCACTTCTGTCATAAATCTCGGATCTCGGTCGCAGCACAAGCAGTTTATAAAGGGTCTCAGCTCATACTATGAGCTGAGCATTGGATCTTTTAACACAAGAGCTTAGTGCACGTCACCCTTTAGGCGTATGCATTACAGAATGCTCAGCTCCACCATGACCAGGGTTCAACTCCCTGTGTGTGCACATTCTCGAACCCAATTCTTTGTGACACACAGAGGCTTGTGGCAGTGCCACACTCCGGGATCTAATTTGTCATGGGAAAATCCGTAGGAGGATTTTCGGTTCAGAAATTGCTGGCTGCTGGGACATCAGCCCTTGAGGGGGGGGGGGGGCTCTTGTCATAAATCTCGAATCTCGGTCGCAGCACAAGCAGTTTATAAAGGGTCTCAGCTCATACTATGAGCTGAGCATTGGATCTTTTAGCACAAGAGCTTAGTGCAAGTCACCCTTTAGGCGTATGCATTACAACTTCGCCCTCCCTATGCTCCAGATGCCCGTACACCTTATTCTCCCGCTGTACTTTGCTGTAGATGGTCTCAAATGTCCTGAGTTACATGTAGAGTGAAGAGGTTGAGGTGTGTCAAGGGTTTGATGGTCAAAGGAGGGTCGTTGTTGGTGGGATGATTGGGGTGTCACAACGTAGTTTGTGACATATTGAGAGCATGATTAAGCAATTGGAGGAAGTGAAAAGGATGAAGGGTGGGAGTACAAAATACAGATCTGGTGGGTCTCTCCTCAAACACACACATTGTTTGGATGTTAATCTGCAGTTTTGAAAGCTTTCTAGCCATAAAAACGATGCATGCATGAGTAATCAAGGCTGGCGGATGAATGTTATAACAACACACAGATCAACTGGTGTTCCGTCCACCAGGACACCCCACTGTATATCCAATTTGTCCTTTTCCATCCTACATCTACCGTTTGTGTATACCATCTGCCTATACCATTTGCCTACCCCAATGTTCCTATACAATTTGTATCTCCCGTTTGTCTCCTGTCACAGGGTTGGTTATTCCTTTGTTTCCTAGGACCGACGGCCAATAACTTCGTGGGCTATGACACTTAACAGATGTGTTCTTCGTAGTATGGATGGTGACAATAACTTCTGGGTGTAATAACTTTGTAGTCTACTAACTTCTATCACTAAGACAACAACTGTCACGCCCGTCAAGCAAATACTTCCTAATAGACCGACGGTCGACGAACCTCGGCTAACTTGATCCTTCTTGATCGATGTCTCACCCAACCGGGAGGGCGCAGACGTTGAAAGGGGTGTAACTACGGCGTACTTCGCCGTGGTTGCTCTAACTGGGGTTTTGTTCTACTGATGGCAATGTATCTCGATTTGTAAATAGCTATCTCTATCTATCTTTCACTACTGACAACAATCAAGGATCGCTGAAGAACTTCAGCGATCTCCTCAGCTAATATTGTTTATTCCTCCTAGACGTTCATCCAACCCTCTCGCGCTTTGACGCACTTCGACGCACTTCCTCCAACTTCCCCGAGCCCCGGCTATCCTCTTCCTCCTCCGACTAACTCCGCCTAACGTCGCCGTACTTCTGCCCCCTTGTCCCTACTTAGCCTAACTCCGTCTAACTTCGCCGTACTTCTGCTCCCATTGTCCCTACCTAGCCTAACTCCGTCTAACTTTGCCGTACTTCTGCTCCCATTGTCCCTACCTAGCCTAACTCCGTCTAACTTCGCCGTACTTGGTCTCAGATGTCCTGAGTCACGCCTAGAGTAAAGAAGTTAAAGCGTGATGGGGGTTTTGATGGTCAAAGGAGGGTCGTTGTTGGTGGAATAAAGGAGTGTCACAACGTAGTTCGTGACAGTCGCCCCCTTCTTTAGCCGCGAACGTCCTCGTGAACGATGACACCTGTACAATGACAAGAG